CTGTTTCATGTCTTTTCGACACATGATGAGTCGTAATGTGTCGTAATATGAGTCGTAATATGTCGTAATATGTCGAAAAGTAATTTTGCTACAGATGGCGCGTCATACACAGCTATCCTGTTAATTGCTGAACGTCTATAACTTATTCTGAATGTAGAATATGTAGTTTCATATCAATGATTGGCTTTGAACATAAATAAGTAATGTTTATTGAAAGTTGAAAAAAAATATTTGTCATTTATCCGACCTCACTGCATCTTTGTGATATCGGAAGGCGTGAGCGAGTGATTTTTGGTGGCGGAGCATCTTCGGGAGATCAGAAAATGAACATTCATTTAGGCTTATAGCCTTGAAGTTAATATCAACTCATTGGCATTTGAGGGATATCAAACATCGGAGAATTGTTATTGTAGTATTTGTTGACAAACAGCTCCAACTTTAGTTCGCTTGTAAGTTATTGTTTACATGTGACTTCTCAGGGATGACGGCCATCTTGCTGGAGCGAGTGAAATGTTGCGTGTATACATAGGGCAAAAATAGGAAAAACCACAAAAATGTTTGACATAATACCATCTAAAATTATATCTCCTATTCCCTTATGGAAACTGTAGTTGATTTTAGCAATATCATGCCAAAGACTAACTTTGAAACTCATGTAACAAGCATCGAAGTATATTTGCGCCCGCCCGATTTCTTCTGCATTTCCTAATTAGCGAAAGGAACCCAGTGAAAAGACACTCGACTCGGTGCTTGTTTTTTACGTATCAAACAGTGAAAAGTTAATTCGAGATCAATCGACTTTAAGCCTCGTCCACACGTATCCGGATATTTTTGAATCCGCAACTGTCTCTTTCCGGGTTCAAAATTTTTCCCGTCCACACGTAGCGTATTCAAATCGAATTCGCCCGTCCGCACGCATCCGATGGTATCCGGATACACTCTAATACCCAGGTCCCCTCTGCAATAAAATGTCTTCAGAGCATGCGCAATAGAGTGCGCGACAGTGGCCGCAAATTTTCACGTTGTGCCGCCATATTGGTTTATTGTTCGGTAAGAGACGGGACACGATTTTGCTACGTCATCGGATTCGAAAATATCCGGATTCACCCATCGTTATCGGATTCGTTGTGGATTTTTTTTTTTTTTTTCCACTCTGGAGAGCGGATTCAAAAATATCCGGATTCGCTGTTGAATTCGCCGGATGCGTTTGGAGGGAAGCCATATCCGGAAAGAAAGAGTTGCGGAGTCAAAAATATTCGGATACGTGTGGACGGGGTCTAAGATCTGCCTAAGGGCAGAAATTTAAAACTTTCACAAGAAAGATAAAAGCTTGAAATAAACATTTACAAACATTAAAGGGGCAGCATCACGAGACGTCCTCTAAGTTTTTGTGCAAACTATGCTAGAATTATGAAGGGGCACTCACTGATCAACAAAATAACCTTTAAAGGACAAAAGGCATAAATTCAATCTCTAAGAGATCAATGATTTTTTAGTGATTTTCCTCCAAGTAACATTATTAAACTTAAAAACGTCGGCCCGAATCACTGAGTATGGAATCTATTTATTAAATGAATAAATTATATACTCGCATTATATACTCTTTCTTGCAGATGAGAATTGTTTTAGTGATCCTGGTAGTTCTCCCTTTCAACTCTCGCGAAGTTTATGGATGTGGTGGATGTGCACCTGGACCATGTAAGTTTTTAATCATAATATGCATTGATCAGCAAAATATTTTTCTCAAAATTTAAATCTAATTCTATCAACTTTATTGATTTCATAAGTTAAAATATATATATATAGTTAAGCAAGAGTAGAAATGAAAAGACCAAAAGGGATGCGCGAACGGGAACAGTATCCCATTCGAGGCGCAAACCAAAATCTAATAAAAAATCTGATAAGAAATCCCAAATTTAAGGTGGTTCGATTCAGTTTTTTCTTTGCCATAGCTAGCATTTTCAGATGGCGTTTTACTAACCTTCCCTTGCTCTGATCAATGTGGAATTACACCAGATTTTGGAAAAAGATTGAAGTTTGGTTAAATCTGTTTTTTAGGTAATCGATATATCCATGGAAACGATAAACCAAAAATATGAAAATCAGTAAAACATGAATTTTGTACGAAACAGATCTGTTATAGAAAATCTGATGCCAATTTCAGAAATTACGATGTGTGGCAAGGGGAATATGCAACAATAAAAAAATTCTGTATGTTTGATTTCGAATAAATCGCGAAAACATTTCAAACCATGCTTTTTGTCTAATGAAATTAAATGGACTGAAAGAAGAACGCGATTTGAATGAAATTGCTCCAAAAGACACCAAACTGTGTCTTGAAGTATAAAGTATAGATCACGAAGGAATGTTACACACATAGATTTGAATATTTTAGCATAATTTTTGTTAGATCGGGATTTTGTAACGCAGCGTTTTCGTGGGTTCGAGCGCCTACTTCATCGACAAATTTAAAAGTGTTCCAGTGTATCAATGCTACTGTAACTTTGGAATAAAATACAAACCAACAAAGCTTTCATGGCTTCAAAACAAAACTTCAAGACACAGTTTGGTGTTTTTGGAGCAATTTCAATAAAACAGTGTCCTTCCTTCAGTCTATTTAATTTCATTAAACAAAAAGCATGGTTTGAAATGTTTTCGCGATTTATTCGAAATCAAAAATATATAATTTTTTTATTCTTGCATATTCCCCTTGCCATACATCGTAATTTCAGAAATTGGCACCAGATTTTCTATAACAGATCTAGTTCGTATATCCGGTATAGAGGAAGACAAGATCTCTGAGTTCCCTGTTGTAAGTTAATGGTAGTAATCAAAGAGTCAGCAGTCGTTGTTTGTAGGACATCTCGCCAATTCTAGTTCTCAGTATCCAGCGAGTTGCGAGCCTCCGGACTCTTTCTAAGGTCGCTTTCAAATTGACACTAGCAGGAGACCATACCTCTGTCGCATAGGAGAGCTGTGACTTCACGAGAGATAGATAAAGTGTCCGCCTGACTTTGATATCGGTGATAAGAGGGCGAGTTCTCTTTAAGAGACCCAATATTCTACTAGCCTTGAGTACAATGCGCCTAACGTGCGGGTCCCTCGATAGATTGCTATAAATGGCAACATCAAGATCTTTTTTTTCCCGAACGCGTTGTAAGCTTACATTGCCAAGGTGATATTCGTGAGTTGCAGGTGTTTTCTTTCGCGTAACTGTTACCACTTTGCATTTGAAGGCGTTAAACTTCATATTTGATTCATGGCTCCAGGTGTTCAAACTTGTCAGATCCTGCTGAGGAATATCACAGTCCTTCACTGTTAAAATAGTACAGTGCAACTTGGTATCACCAGCATACAAGGCGGTGCGGTTTGCTCGTGGATGGCTTCAGAAAGGTCATTGATAAATATCACAAAGAGGAGTGGGCCGACGAGACTACCTTGAGGTACACCGGATGTGACCGGTAGACGCTCAGAGGCTCTACCGTCAATCACAACTCTTTGTGATCTGTCCTTTAGGTAGTCGGAAAGCCAATCTATCAGTTGACCTGTCACACCGACCCATTTCAGCTTTTCAATAAGAATGACGTGATCAACTGTGTCGAAAGCCTTGGCAAAATCAAGGTACAAAATATCCGTCTGTTTGTTTTTGTCAAGTGCCTCCCCAATGCAACCGAATGGAGTACGGACAAAAGTTGCGAAGAACACGAACAGGAACGCATGAATCCGTGTTGTAAATACGTAATTGACGGCGAGACGTGGGAATAAAGCATGTTACAGAAGCAGCGTTCCATAACTTTAGTCACAATTGGAAGTAGTGAGATTGGTCTATAATTAATTTTCAGCTGACTCCAGAAGATCTCTTTTGTGAACTGGAGTAACATCAACTGACTTCCAATCTCAAATACACTGCTATTGTTTTCGATGATTGTAGTAATGTAATAGTGATGAAATCGAAACTAAGTCCTTTTCTAAAAAGTGGCTGAAGTCTCAGTAAACAATAAATACGGGTATATTTAAAAGGCTCGTGTGTATTTCGAGAAAATACAAGTGACTCGTGGGATGTTTCACGGTATACTAATCGAAAGCGTTAAATAACTCGTCTCTGTGGCCCTTTCCCTCTATGCAGGGAATTGTTGTTGTTGTATTCATCAAGTCCAGTCCAAGATAGCGGACAGTGCAGACGAAGGCTTGCCTTCTGAAAACACCTCGTTTCGGAACTCACACTCAAATTATGTCTACAGCAACAACTCAACTGCACAGACAGCTTTTTCTTCCCACCTTCAAAGTCGGAGCCTCGTTGGGGAACCGTAAAACATGGAAACCGGAAACCGAACCTGAATCCGGAATTATTGAAATCGAGAATGACGACAGAAAAAATTCACTCCAACAATGTACAATAAGTAAATGTGGAAAAAGTGATCTTGCTGTTGTTAAGTTTCTTTGCTTTACTTCAACCACAAACTTTAACTGTAAAAACATAACTAGCTTTGATACTACCCCCAGACATTATCCAGACAGGATTGGCGAATTTTTGGGTGAATATAGTTAGCCATCGTTTGATGACTATTGATCAACCTGGCTCCGACAAGAGCGCGGTTCTTGCCAAGCTCACATTGTTACTGAAGAAAAGACTGGTGAGTAGCAAAAAAAAAGTCACAGTATTGGCGTCAAAGCGATGTTTACGTGTGATTAATCTTTCAACCCGACAACCTTAAACTTGAACATTGAGAAAACAAGATCTTCAAATACGCGAAAATTACATTGCATAGATTTTGCCTGTAAAAAAGGCCAGTAAAAGAGGGTTCCTCGCCTGTCGAAGTTCGTCCACTGTTATTTCTAGTGAAGGCTATGGTTACGAGAATCTAAACGAACGTGCATCATAATTTGATACTAAGCACTGAGAGCGACTGAAGTAAGCTTGCTGGTAATTGCAATTTTGGTTTATGCGATCTCTAATATACTTTTGGGAGGTATAATTTGGCCTTCATGTCTAGTAGATACTGAACAGGATGGGTTTCCGTCAGTGGCAGTAAGCTGTACCTCGACAGTCGCGCCTATCACTCTCGATATGCAGAGGTTAACTTGGCACGTCTAAAGAGTGTGTTTTTCCCAACATACGAGATTAATTCTAGAACGACATTATTTTCACGCTGATACTGTTAAAAATCATCACCAGATATTCTTATCCGTCTTCGTATTAAAATAATTTCTAGAAACAGTTCGACACTTACTTCCTTCTACTTCTCGTTCGCGAACGGATCAAACATCGCTTTGATGTCAATGCCGCGATAATAGCCTTTTTGCTATTGTGCGACTCGCCAGCCTTCTCAAAGTAATTTGATCTGGATAAGATCTGCGCTCCTGCAAAAAGTCGTTAACCCTGATTGAACGGTGATTTACCCTATGACAGCGGATCCACCTTTTGAACAACTGGGCAAGATGTAAAGCGTGGGGTTGTTTAAAATTAGTCATGTTGTTTTCAAATTACAGTTTGTGCTTGAAGCTGAAAGAAAATAAAAAATATAACAACAAAATGTATTTATTTATTTATTTATTTATTTATTTATTTATTAGACATTGCTGAAGTGAGTTTTTTTTTTTTTTTTCTGTCATCGTTCTTAATTTCAATAATTCCGGAGTTTAGTTTCCGCTTTCCAGGTTCCCGATTCCTGTTTTTGGTTTTCGGTTGTCGAATTCCGGTTTCCGTATTCCTTGTTTAAGGGTTGTCCTGCCTCGTTAGAATAAAGTTTTTTCTCTCGATATGTTTTATCAACTTTTCTCTCAATGCAGGCTCTTTCTGGAAAGTATAATTAACCGCAGCTTTTTTCCTTGAACTATTGAAGTATTCGGGGATGCAACATGTAATGCCACCACTTCGTAATTTCGAAGGCGACTTTTCATTCCCTCTCAAGTGGTCCGCCGTCTTGGACCTGGAAGACCTGGACTTGACTGCACTTGATGAATACAATTGCCAAAATTCCCCGCAGACGTGTCTCACAGAGCGAAAAGGGCGATTAGGATAGTTCACTTGAACAATTTCTTATCTTTAAGGATGGTTCCTACTTTTGTTAGTGCGCACACGTTCTGCACATCGCGCAAGGTATGGTATAACCGCCACGCGGGCACTAGGGTTGGCATTGACGTAATCAACTACGTTACCAAGCACACAACTAAAATGAAAGCAAATTTTCCTACTCTGACCAAATCAAGTTTACTGAACCTGTTGTAAAACCAGGAATACCACAATAGCAATGTATCGCTAACCACTAACCATTAACGGCTTCCAGCTGAAAAACTAGCTGTTATCTTTCGAAAATTATACTGAAATCCGACTGTAAACATGTACTTGCAGATGGCGTGGTGTACGCGCAAAACAAGTGCGAGAGACGCAAATGTGTTAGTGGGAAGGTGACAGGAAAAAATGTAACGGGCACCCTAAAAGTTTCCGAAAAAGATGAATAACTTTAAAAAACGTATGGTTGCCCCTACATTTTATTTATGAAATGGAAGTGGCAAGTCTTTTCTGTATGTAAAGGCAAATTCTGAGGACATTTGTGAAGAGATATCGTTTCCTTCTTTTTCAGAAAAGTGCTGATGTCAACAGTTTTTTTGAGATTCAAGGCTAATTATCTCGAAAAAATGCGTGGCTACTCCCATTTTGCTTTGTGGTTTCCAATAGCCTTAGCAAAGATCTTCTTTTTCCGCATAGTCCTAATCTGTTGCTAAAACCTTTGTATTTAGTAAGCACCGTGCTTAACATCCCGTTACTAAAACCTCTCAGCCATTGTTACTTTTTTCTTAAAATCGTGTTGAGGTGATGAATATAACAGATAAATCATATGTAAACTACTACAGAACCAGCCGATGCAACTGCAGCTAATTTAATATCTAAATCTAAGTTATGCGTATTATATCAATCAAATTTTTAAGAATAAATTAGGGGGTTAGTCCTCCAAACCGCTCTAGGCTTAGTTACCGGCTGTCTATCAATTTAGCAATCAAGACTTTGATCAAGACTGGCTTTAAATAAAGTTGTTAGTTACTTACTTATTTACTTACTTACTTGTTTGCTTGCTTGCTTGCTTACCTACTTTAAGCTATTTTCTTTATTTCTGGCTTTTCAGGTTACCCTCGCTTTTGTTAATTTTAATTCTTGTTTTATTTTTTTTCCTTTTCTCGTATTGTTGCTATATTTTTTTTTTATATTTTTGTTATTTTAGTTGCCCATTTCCCTTTGTTTATCTTCGCATTCATCTAGTTGGTATGATTTGCGAAACGGCACAAACAAAAAGCAGAGATTTGCACAGCCCGAAATCTAAGCGAACGCCTGGAACTTGGGGCCAAACGTGGAATGGCTCATCAGTAAGTTAGTTTTCACCATTCTTTCTTTTGTTATCTCAATAGCACCAACATGGGGTCCATGGAGACCATCCTGCGAGAAGAGACTTGGATATAGGAGTCGTACTTGTGAGAACGGACAGTGTTCCGGAGAATCCGAACAGAAGGAGGACTGTGATGAGTGCGCTCTCAAGACAGATAAATGCCAACACCATTGTAAAAATGCTGATGAAGGTTATGAGTGTAGTTGCAACGCAGGATACAAGAGAACAGGGGACCACAACTGTGAAAGTATGTATATACTAGTTATGCAACGCTCTCTCGTGGTTTCCATGGTATACCACGAGGGAGCGTTGCGTAACTATGAATGAATGAATGAATGAATGAATGAATGAAAACTTTATTTAAAACACGGTAAAAAAAATATATTGGTATGACAGTAGTAGAAAAAAGAAATACATCACATGTAAAATTTTCTACTTATGGTTTACATATTTGCCGTGTGGGAGTCTGATGCAGAGAACCATTTATTAATGCTTCTCTTGAAGATGTCTTGAGATTTTGTAGTGCGAAGTTCCTCTGGAAGATCGTTCCATAGAGAAGCTTCGCTGTAACTGAAGCTACGAGTTAAGAAGGTAGCTAGAGTTCGTATCATAACTTGATTTAGTAATTACTCTGGCAGCGTGATTTTGTAATTTTTGAAGTTTTTCACTCAGCTGTCGAGACAAGCCAACCCAAACAATTCTGCAGTAATCAAAATGTGGTTCGATAAGACCTTTGTACATTTAAATAGCAGTGTACATGGAAGTAAAAGATCTGACTCGCGTAAGTGCACCGATACTGGAAGCGAGTTTTTAAACTCGCGTATTTAAACGTATTTTAACGCACGTATTTAAACGCGTATTTTTTTTTAAACTCGCGTAGTTTTTAAGCGTATCGGGGACTCCGATATGCAAATGTGTCACTCACTTACTCACTCGCTGACTCAGGTGTAGACACTGTTCGTAATTAGTCGGCCCGAACAAGAGCGCCCGAGGCCGACGCCATGTTGGAAGAGTAACCGAGCCCGACGCCATATTGGAATAGTAACCGTGCAGTCATTGCGAGCCTCGCTATCGTGTTTGCGCGGTTACCACTCAAAGGATGCATCGTGCCAGCCCTAACTGATGATTTGTAGCTTTTACACGACCATTAATGTTAGGTGTTTCGCTAAATTGAAGTGGAGTTGACTTCGAATGTT